CATAATTGAGCCATATTGGGTGGGCTGTTATAATGGTTGTTCAAACCACGTAATGAGCCTCTTATATTGGTGAAGTTTCGTTTAAAAAACTCTCCGGTGCGAAATTAATTCCATAAATTCATCTTTAACCTTGTAAAATCAATTTTAACCTTGAAAAAGGTTGTTTGTCCCGTTTAGGGAGCTCTGATTTTTCTCATGAAGGCTGTCAATTTCCGCTCTTATCTTAAGAAAGATTATCTTGAACTTTTAGAATGAGATGAGTTCGAAATTATACTTCATCTTTTGCGAGTAGCCGAGTACCAGTTTGGCACAACCTTTTCTCTCTTTTTGTAGGCCCTAGCTCGTTAAGAAACCTAAGCAAGTTCTACCAAGTGTAAAGAACATTGTAAAGTAAAACCTTGATTTTATTAAAAGATCCCTTAGGAAAAAGTACAAACTTACTGGTAGAATTTCAATAAGTGCTCAGAATTCCAGACCCTTCTACCAGCTTTTCGCTAAGAGTACATAGCTTGTATGTTCTGGGCCTAACTATTCCTTTGATTTTATAAGTCTCCTCCCATTTTTTGGCGAACTTCCCCCCTTTTGAGGACTAAGTCCCCAATATCGAACAACGACCTTGATATGACCTTAGCATCATGGTACTCTTTCACTTGACGTCTATAATTTTGAATTTTCAGCCCTGATGAATGCTCGATCCTTTCGTTCCTCAATCAGGTGGAGCTCGACTCTAAAGGTACGTACAGAAAGTATTTATAGACGCAGAGGTACAGTTGATTAAGGAGAGATAAGTTATACATTTAATAGATTCAATCATGCTAGGACTCTTGTAATGTCTCCCATTATCTCGTAATTATTTCTCCTTTGTGTCCACATTTCTTCCGTTTAGATCCCTGCCGCTACCAGATAGCTATGCATGACAGATAGGCTGCCACGTAAGCCCTAGGGTGAGTTCGACCTCACTAGAATCCCGCCCATGCATGAGGTCTGCTGTCCAAACCCGCCTGGCTGTGGGTTCCTTTTGCGGGTCGCGGTCCCCTGTCAGGTCTAGTGGCTCATATTAATTAATCCTGTGTGTTGGTCTTCGCGTATAATTTTTATTTGAGCCATGGTCGCGGTCCATGATACCATCAACCACATAAATAAACTTTTGTTAATAACTGACCACCTTTTAATGTTTCAATGTTAGTGGGGTGGAGGTAGTACAAGTTTCATAACTTAAATCATTGTCCAAATTTTATTAACATTGACCAAGAAAAATCAAATTCATCAAGTGCTATGGGGCGGATGGAGTGTAAAATTCAATATGATATGTATCACAATATTTTAAAAGTCTTGTTCAAATGCTCGTTACATACGAGTATCTTATAGTGTCCCTTTCCTCACTAGTACTTGAGGATGGTAGGGCAGACCCGTTTGGGACCTTCACTAATAATTTCAAGTTAGAGCTTGTGCTTGATGTATGCACTCTTGTAGAGAGTGTTCGAGAGAAGACTTAGTGCGTGCTTCCCTAGTTCGTTTTAACTATTATTTATAAATGCCCACGGACAAATGTATTATAAATTTCTGTTGTATTGATCCTGTGTGCTTGTGTTTTGCCTTGTGCGACTGATTATGTTTTTATCTAATATTCCTGTTGTGTATTAAATAATATACTTTTATTTTGTTGTTATGAGATGCATGATCTCTATGATATACATGACACCTTGGATATTTTGATAAAGGTGAACTATGATTGCCCTTATGGATTATACAACAATTTTCGGTGTTACTAGCGAGCCCGAGCGTGATAAATTTAAATCAGACCAGACTTAAACAGATCAAATAAGACCAAATTTTTTAGTTCAATTAAAACTTAATACCCTTATTTTAAAATACCAAAATGTCTTTACTTCTATTTTAAAAAAAATCTATTTTTCTTTGTGTTTTGATCTATTTAAGTTTGGCCGAGCATGAAATAGAAATAAGGCCAAATGTGGCCTTTTCCTTGAGCCCGAGTTTGAGGATTGAAATATTGAACATTTAGGATGTTTTTACTTGGACTGTAATTTGCTGGTCTGGTCTGATCTGATCTGGTCTGATCTGATCTGATCTGGTCTGATCTGGTCTGATCTGATCTGGTCTGATCTGGTCTGATCTGGTCTGAACTGGTCTGGTTTGGTCTGATTTCTTTGTATTTTTATAATTATCCAAGTTTGGTCTGGTCTGGTCTGGTCTGGTCTGAACTGATCTGGTCTGGTCTATTCTAATCTGGTCTGATCTGGTCTGTTCTGATCTGGTCTGATCTGGTCTGGTCTGGTCTGGTCTGGGACGAATTAGTGTGTAATAAAACAGCCTCTAGAGTGGTCTCATTTGGTTAACCCGAGCGCGAAGTTCCAACCCGAAATGTCAATACGGTCCATTTCATCTCACACCTTCCATGGCCGCGACTACTTCAAACACTCTATTACCTGCTTTCTATCTTCAAATCGGATGCATAAACAGGTTTGTCCTTCTTCCAAGTAGAGGCTGGTGCGTGTGTAGGCATGTGTTTTTTCATTAACTCTACCATTTCATTGATTTTGAATAATGATAAAAAGAGTTGACGCTTTCGTAAATTCTCTGAAACTCGGATTTATAGTTCCTGCCAAATGATTCATGATAGTTTTGTATGGTTTCATTTGTCCATGTAAAGATTTGAAATATACTACTGCACAAGTGATACACACTAAAGTAGCTTTATTTAGTCCAAGGAAGCCGCACGACAAAAGAAAGAAAAACATAAACACGTTCACGCAATCACACACTTACACACAGAGAAACTAGACAACGATGCATTGCACAATCAAAACAGACTATGAGAAACCCTGCATTACTGGTGTGACTCCTATATCACACTTTCACGCTTATTTTTCTTCTTCAGGGAGTATCATCACTCTCATACCTATAGATGTTCACCACCAAAGTTTAGATGTTCGCTTTTCTTACCCTATGTATGTCCCTGCAGAGGTTTAGTTGGGAGATGTTCCAACTAAACTAAATCCAACTGTAAAGAAAGCTGCTGCTTGCAGTATTAGATATATGTAAAACTGGTCCTTCCCATAATACAGGTCAATGTAAGCACAATGCAGCATGTACATTCCCATTGTAAGCTCGAGCGGGTTCATCCTGTTTGAGAACATCACAGTTTTCATTATCATTTCAAAGAGTGGTTTGATACAAGGTTGGAGTTATCTAGTATAGAGTTGAAAAACAGACAAACATGTTACCTGTCTATACACCTGGATCTTGGCCTTTTTGGTGCTCTTCCATTTTGCCTCTGTTTAGCCATGTTCCCCAGTTTTTCTGTTACAACCCATTCGTTGACTCGGTTCGCCCCTAATAGCCCTATTATTGCAGCCTTAGTCCGATGCAAAGACATCACATTCTCAAATAATATCCACGGCAAAAGAAGGTGGAGAGACCTATTCCAACCATAGAGAAAGTTATCATTTTTTTGGTAAATTATGTAGTTGAAACCAGCACTAAGAGACATTCATTTTCATGGCATTGCTACCTCCTTGTGCAGACTGCATTCAGAATTGTTATTGTTGCAGGAAGATATATGGCTAGTGGCTTTGTGAGCTGCACTTCAGGTATGATGATAGTGGCCGGCATGACGATGCAGTAGAAGAAAAAGGTAACCCAGTGTGCAATGATCTTCCTCACGAAGAAGAAAGCATAGACCAAGTGGAATTTCTTGTATAGAGATACGCGCTGCATTGTGCAGGAAAGGTCATGTGTGAGTTTTCTGAATCCTCCTAATTAATACTACGTATGAAAAAATGATTTACTGAATTTAATTATTACCTCGCTAAGGATGATTTCTTTGAACATCTTCCTGAAGAGATTAGCTGGACCGCAAGACCAACGGTGCTGCTGATATCTGTAAGCCTTGAAGGTGCTTGGAAGTTCATTTTTCACCTAAATGAACTATTTTTAGTTTCTTTGAATATTTATGATATATATAGTGGCTTGAGTGATTGACCTGTTAATCGTATTATACCAAATAAATGTTTAAGTACTTGAGAAATATTCACATTAGACTCACTTCTAAGTCACCAATAAAAAGAAATTTCCATCCCCTAAGGCTAGCTCTGACTGCAAGGTCCATGTCCTCCACTGTTGTTCGATCTTTCCATCCCCCGGCATCATTTAATGCATGTATTCTCCAAACACCAGCAGTCCCTAAAACAACATTCATATTTTAAAAGGATTATTTGCATTTGTCGAATGTAATTTCTTTTGGATGAAAATTGTCCGAGCAATACATGACTTTTTTATTTACCATTGAACCCGAAAAATGAGCATGTTGAGGAGCCCACTTCTTGCTCAACAGTGAAGTGATAGTCTAATGACATCTCCTGAAGCCGGGTCATAAAACATTCATCTGCATTAACTGTTGACATTTCACTAGGGTCAATCACATATAGACTAGACTATAGTGGGTCACATATAGCATTTTTACTTGAAGTATGTAACTATGTATATATATATATAGGTTTCGGATCAAATAAAAACCTTTCTTAACGTGAAAACTAAAAACCGCTCAGTCAAACCATGCTAAATAAAAAAAATGTGGAGGCATTTTCATAATTAAGTCAAAGTTTCCTGTCCATGCGAAAAAGTGCATCACACTGTGGAAAAAGTGGACGGTTTGCAGTTTTCACGATAAGAATAGTTTTTATTTGATCCATATCCTATATATAGCTATATATATATATATATATATATATATATATATATATATATATAGGAAGAGGTTCAAGTGAGAACTCTCTTAAAATGAGAACCCGTGAGAACCCCAAGGAAACGGTGGTATTTTTGTCTGAAATTTTTTGTGTATGCTCCTCATCAAGTCTAATTGATCCATGCCAAATTTGACCAAAAATTCAATCGGGAAGGTCGTCGAATGATTTTTGAAAGAAAACTGCGTTATATATATATATATATATATATATTTATATATATATATATCGGACCAGTTTTCTTTCAAAAATCATTTGATGACCTTTCCGATTGAATTTTTTGCTCAAATTTGGTATGGATGATCTAGACTTGATGAGGAACATACACAAAAAATTTCAGCCAAAAATACCACCGGTTCTCAGGGGTTCTCACGGGTTCTTATTGTAAGAGGGGTTCTCACTAGAACCCTCCCCTATATATATATATATATATATATATATATATATATATATATATATATATAGCTAAATGGCGAAGTTAATTATTCACAGTTGGATTATCAACTGTATGGTTCGATGCTCATCAACTTTGACTCACTGACTCATGATCAGTGTTAGTAATTGTACAATGCCTTTGCATCTTGCGGTGCGCTTCAGCAATTTCTCGGCCAAACGCATTAAGGCAACTCCTAGAGTAGAGGCTTATGCCTTTTTTACCACATGCCTACACCACGAGGCGTACGTGATGAGACGCACACAATTGTGTTTTCAGGGTTTACTTATTATGTTGGGGCTTTGGCCCACTCAAAAAAGCCTAATTTTTTTTTACAACTTCTCCGACTCTTCACTTCTCTTATGCGATGATCGCCTTTCTTCTATGATTGTTCATTCTCTCTTATCTCTTCTCATCCACAAGACTAAGACTACAAGGTCGTGTTTTTATTTATGTAATTTTTCGCGTTAATGATGTGTTAGATTTTGTTTATGTTAGTTTGTCACACACATTAACGTGATGCAAACTCCTCTCTCTTCTCATTTGCAAGGTGTATTTTTCCTATTATTTTTTTCCTAGTTAATAATTGTCGATTTTCTGGTTAATAGCTATATGGATTAATATTAACAAATTGCTTAAAGTCACTAATCCTGTTCAACAATGGCTTCTAAAGCATTAATTATTAATAGAATAATTATAATTATTGCTCCAGTTCTCCATAATATTTTTGCACGCTCCTTGAAGCACTAATGTAATTAATGTCCTGAATTTCAAATTTCAATGTCAAAACACAGAAGGTTATGGAAAAATCAAACAAAGAAATATAGTAGCTTTGATTGCTTTTTAACTTTCTAAACCACTAAATATTGATGACTCAATTTTTTTCATTCCTCAGTCTAGTAAATGTTAAACTTTAATGGAGTATGAAATATTTGCTATCATATGATGCTTGAACTTATTGTATGGGTTCATGTCCTCATTATTGTTTCTTTTCACTATGAAATTTATCGAATTTTAAAGAATTTAGTATATAATTTAATACGGAGTAAGATTTATAGTAGTATTTGTAATTTTTGAGGATATTCCCTAAATAGGACTAAAACATGATATGTATCCTCAAACAGGACCACCATTTTTCCCTCTTCAAAATATGACCCATCCACTCCTAAAAAAGAAACCTTAATTGCTTTTATTCTTTCACTAGGACTAAACAAGTCCTATTTTTGGAATAAAACATAATTGCTCATATTTGTGAACTTGGTCCATGTTTTACTCCTATTATGGACACCACCTTAATTATTTAATTTGTATAATAATCTTAGGCTAACTCTTCATTGCGCAATGAGTTCTAACTACCCCAACAATGCAATATACAATTTCGAACATTGCTATTGATATAGTTTTAAAACTTTTGTTGGTAGATTTGTCCTTACCGAATTTCCATCTCGCTTGCACCAGTGCCAATTCTGGGTTTTCTAGGAGATAAGGGATTGTCCTCCAAAGAAAGTCATTTTCAGGCTGAAAGTCAGCATCGAAGATTGCAACAAACTCACAGTCGTCAACATAATGCTTTTTTAGACCTTCACGTAGAGCACCAGCCTTGTAACCATTCCTATTCTTCCTTGTCTCGTACTTAACATTAACCCCTCTCTGAATCCATTTCTGACATTCTTCTTCGACTGATATCTGCATATTGATGCTTAAAGCGTTATCTTAAAGACAAACTGATGAGACCTTGATAGACACCGAAGTTAATGAAATATTTAGTCCAGAGAATACTCTCAAGCTTTTTACTTATATTTGGGAGTTAGGTATTGGAGGGGAGGATAGAGAATGGATTTTTTTTTCATTTCAAGATTTTTTTCTTTTAAATGAAAGAATAAAATGGTAACATATCATTTTGATGTCATATTCATATATTAATTACCATAATTATAAATAGTTCAGTTATTTTAAAGGAATAAATTTGACCCTTCCTCTAAAAAACCATCCAAAATAGACAAAAACATACCCTTAGGGATTCATTAGTAGAGTCATCAAGAACTTGCACAATAAGCCTATCTGATGGCCATGTAAGCCCACATACTGCTCCAATTGAAAGCTTGTAAACCTGGTGAAGAATAAAAGAGTAAAAAGATAAGCATGGTTTATATTCTATATAAGTGAAGTGCACTAGTATCAAATAATAATGGTTATTACCTCCTTTTCATTGAACATGGGAATTTGGACCAACACAATTGGGTAGTTCTTGTTCTGCTCAAGGTCATCTTTCATGGCATCGAGCTTATAATTGGTATACCTTTTTTTCCCTAAGAATTTAACGCAAGCAATTACAATTGCCATATACACCCTTTCAAGAAACAGCATCACCGACATCAATATGCATATAGACATTGCCAATTTAAGAAGAGGCACAAGAATAGGAACTCGTACACAATCCCAGACATATTTGAGACTCTGCGTAGGAGTGGTGTAAATGTCTCTCCCTTGCTCTCTGAAGACTATATTTCTCATTATCACACTTTCAAGTGATTAATGAAAGAAGGATATAACTTGGATTACAGATAAAAGAGAGAGCGCTCAGGGCATGAATGCATCGAGATTGGAGAGTAAGTTTACTTGGTGGTTGATTTGTCTTAGCGTTGTGGCTGCTTTATATAAGAGATTTCGGTGAAGGTGAAGATAACAATATGATTTGTGCTTCGGTGGATGGTTGTCGTTTATTGAGAGTTTCATTGAAAATGAAGTTCTATGTGAAAGACACACGGTGTACATGCAAGGGATGATGCCGTAACGTTATCACTTTGCTAGCTGGAGTGCTAGAATTTCTTTCCAAATGGAGTTTGAGGTTCCAACGGCAAATAGTATATATATGATGCATTTTTTAAATAATCGATCGGCATATCTTTTTCACACAATTTCTCATATGCCCTACCAAACATTTTATCTTTCCGTTCTCTTAGCTTTAGTGAATTTTGCCTCCCCCACCCTACCTGTTCTTTATTTCTTATTTAAAACTTGAGTGCACGTCTGGAACAAGTAACAAAACCCTCTATCTTTGGTTCCCCATATCTTCACGGCATACAAACCACACAATTAATCAAGGAAAAAGTGAAGCTTTTTTGCCCTCATTGTGGTTGCAATATTCATGTTTGATACGATTTTTGGGTAATGAGTCATTCATGCATTAAGGCCTTAATATAGAAACACATATTGTCGAATCACGTGAATGTGAACCATTCGACTCTTTTGGTCATACTGATTCAATTGTGAATATTAACCCTTACATTCTTACCATCTTCAAGTCCATCTAAGTATTTAATTACTGGCTTCTTGCGGCAAGTTATTATTGATAGATATCATGATCAATTTGTTTTTATGTTGGTTTAATGATTTTAATCAAACTTGTGACCCTTTTCAAAGTGTTGAATTTGTAAGTTCACTGTCGTACATATTATATATTCTTTCGGTGGTATTTTGCATGTCCATTTATTTGAGGCCATATGATGTCTTGGGTAAGTATTTTGGCTAACATGATTTTATATAATTTCGGAACTAATGCTTTACTATGCAATTTTCGACGCGATTTTCACTACGGGTCATTCGGAAACAGTCTCTCTGTGCTTTAGTACAAGGGTAAGACTGTGTACATCCGACCCCCCCTACTCCACCGTAGGTGGGAGCCTTTGCGGCACTGGGTAATGATGATGATGATGATGGGAACTAATGCTTTACTACTTTTGACTCTAATTATTGAATAATTTATTAACAAATTTGTCTTTCAAGTTTCAAACATATGGCCATAAGCATGTATTATATTAATTACTTCATTTAACAATTAAGGGGTTTCTAAACTTACATATACATGTCCATGATTTTATATAATTCTGGAACTAATGCTTTACTACTTTTGACTCTAATTATTGAATAATTTATTAACAAATTAGTCTTTCAAGTTTCAAACATATGGCCATAAGCATGTATTACATGTAGTATTAATTACTGCATTTAACAATTATGCGGTTTCTAAACTTACATATGCATGTCAATGATGCACTGATGCTTGATTTGGAAGTCTGCCTTTCCCATAGCAGACTTCTGTAAATGAACTTTACATTTCAGCCTTAAGCAAACATATTCATGCATATTATTGAATTCATGTTGCCCTTAAAGCTGTGGTTAATGCTCCTAGCTGTGATGTTATTTTAAAATGGTGCTTAGACACTTAGCATAACTGATCTGTCTTAGAAACCCATTGTCTATGTGTTTCTAAAAGTCACATTTACTGTAAAACCTGTGGATACATGGATAATAATGTATATTTCCCCAAGAGATGACAGCAAATGCACTTAATAAAAAGAGCTGAGGTGCTCTTTTGCTACTTTTTTTGCATCATGATATACATCTAATTTTTGCTCAGGTGTCCAATAAATCTGAATCATATCTCAGTGCTTTCATTTTCCTCCATAGGAAACACTGTTTGCTTATTAAAACCTACACTTTGTTATTATTGTTGTTGTTACAACCATGTTATTCATATTTAAGATTTATATATGGATTTAAGTGGTGAAATGTATTTTAATATCAGCATTCCAATAACTAATTCATCAGCTAAATAAATCATAGTGTAAAAGCTTTTTACTTTAGCGTGTCAAAAACAAACAGTTTATCAAATTAGCCCATTAAGTATTATGTAGTAAAAAATTGATTGTTTCTTGAAAATGGCATAAAAACTCGGGTCTCATTGATTCTCAACTATACCCCCGAAGGAGTAAGGACCACTGTTATCATTTTCCTTGATCCTTATTGTTATTGTTGGGATATAGGTCCAAGCACTATCTAGCCCAGCATGAAAGAGTTATATTTATTGGATTGGCGTCAGGCCTATTGACCCAAACGATGGTCCAGGCCAGAAACCAGAAGAAGAGCAGCCCTGTACAGGCACTTGTGGCCTGCTAGTTTAGTTAGTATCCCTATCCGGCCCGTTGGTAGAATGGGTTAGCTCATCAGCATCAGGTTGTGGACTCCTTTTGGGGACCACTTATAGCCAACACCAAATAGGCCAAATAGCCGAGCAGCCTAGAACCGAAAGTGTATGGACATGCAGAGAATTATTATGTCCTATTAAATATCTTAAAGGGATTAGACATGGAGACGGTTATTTTTTCCTATTATTGTCATTATTATATTCATTAATTCTAGTTTAGTTAGTCTTTAGTTTTTGAGTTGTACTAGCTTTGCAGATCTTATTTCCTATCCTTACGGACTCTGGTGGCATCTATATGAGGCTGTACACCGACGAATTTAACAATAAACATTGTTTCGTTTTATTCAGACAACTCTCTCTTAAACACGTCCCAGGACAAGATCTTGTTCATGTGTTCTTAACAAATTGTTAGCAGACTTGGGCAAAACAGAAAATGAAGTTGCAACAATGGAGACACTAAAAGCCCTCCTACAGAGGGTCGGCCAATGCGAGGTGGATGTCGAAGAACAGCTCATAGGGAATCAACACAACCTCATGCGAGTTGAGACAAATATATTTAATCTTAGGACTAGTGAGACCTTTGGTGAGAACATCAACCAGCTGATCTTTTGATCCAGCGAATGTAGTGATGATGTCTCCTGATGTGACCCTTTCTCATATAAAGTAACAATCAACTTCAATATTTTTTGTACTTGAGATAGGATGCCATTTGCAAGGCTTCTTGATTATGACAAATTAACTTCATATAACCAAACTTGCAAAAATTAAGTTTTGTGAGGAAGTGCTTAACCTAAAGTAGATCACAGGTTCTACGTGTCATTGCTTGATGTTCTGCATCCACGCTTGACCGTGCAACTCCAAACTACAAGATTTCCAACAAAGGATACAAAATCTGAATACATTAGTCTTTCTATTCCAAACAAAACCAGCCCAATCTGCATCGGTTGAACCACCACTTTATGTATATTGATGATTTGTACAACAAGCTTGTACCCTTATGATGCATCAATATCTTTTCATGATACCGTATATGCATACCTGATATGTATTAATGATACATGTATTACACATATTGAACATAGTTATCCCAGCGTCGCCTAGAAACTGACATGACGTCTGTTGAAAGGAGAAATGTTATACACAAGCGACTCTCATAAAGTCTCCTAGGCATCCTGCGGTTACAATCAAGCGTCATGAGATGCTATGGTGATGCTCGATGAATTTTTGTTTCCTGACCCTACTTGGTAATATGTGATGTTTAGAGTCCTTCAAGCTATCACAGGTCACCCCACGGGTCGTTAATGCAAGTCCTTGCTTCACCGTTGTCTACTCTTTTCGTTTTCTACTTTTGCCATTTTCTACTCTAGTAAAGTCGAACTCTGTTGTGAGTTTCTTTGCTGTTGAGTCCAATCTCTAATCTCTCTTTTTCTGGCCAAGTCTGAAGTAGTACTCTTTTTGTTTACTCTTTTTGTTTCTGTATATTTTTGTATGTTAGATTCCAGCTGGACTACATCTTTCTATCTTTAGTTTTTTGTTAAATGAGGGTGCATTTAATTGTAACGATTCCACATCGATCAAATATGGGCTTGATCGATGGCTTATAAGCTAGGTGTACGGTGTACCCTCCATCTATCGGCTAGTCTTTTGGGAGTGAGTCCTACATCTAGGCTTATGTTCTTGTTATGGGCCTGGTATGGGCTATGTCTGTATCACTATCATTGCTCCAATGGAGCCCACCACAACACGATCATTGTGGAGCTCGCCACCGGTATTCGAAACTGAACCTGGGTTTGAAGAACCCACTCCATCAGAATACACCAACAACGAATTCCTCATATGGTATTACCTCACACGAGTTAGACTGGGGTTAGTAAGTAACTTAAGAGACTTGAGATACCCCATCCAGACTGCCACACTTGGTTAACATCTTTAGTTTTTACCTACCTTTTTTAACAAGAAAATCTTCTATTACTTCGTTTATGTTGAATATTTGTACTAAAATATATCTCTCCTCACGTTGGATGCACCAATGCTGTCATTCGTATATATCTCCTCACGCTGTAAAAGGGATCAACACCAAACACTATGGGGTCCTTTCCACTGCTGGACACTGTTCCAAAGGTCCCAAAATAATCTGCGCAAAAGGAAATTGGAGAAGTAAAGGAAGAAGACTTTCTATTTGTTGTGTAATGAAGAAGATGAACACTAAACTTAAGATATAGATATATTATTAATAAGCTCCAAATTACTTCTTTTTAATATCTGAAATTTTCTGAATGAAATTACAAGGTCTCATAAAACCCCTATTTATACCGGTTGAGCTTGGTGATGAATCATCAAAGAGTAATTCTACATATTTTGTTGGCAACATTAAAACTAGCTAGCCATCTGTCTATATATGATTACAAGGAGGGAAACTAGATTAGTATCCTGATTACAAGGATGAACATTCACACTTGTCAATTTGGTGGTTTTACAACACCCCCTTGAATGTTCATCTTTGAATATGTATTTGTTATTTTAAAAACTTATCGTGAAAATGAGTGTGAAAATTAAGGGGTAGAGATTACGACTTATAATGTCATTGTATATGGATGTATTGTCTCGTTAAAACCCTTATCAGAAAAACCCAGTGGGATAAAAACCCAATGAAGGAAAAAAGAGTGCAGTGCATTCAAATACCCCCCCCCCCCCCCCCTAAATTTAGCATAAATTTTGAAGGCGGTGCATGCCGATTTTCTGTACAAGTTCTATGAACTTCTTCGGGGGTAAGGATTTGGTGAATAGATGGGCTGGATTTTCATTGGATCTGATTTGTTGAATGTTGATCGTTCCTTCTTTCTCCAGATCGTGAGTAGCGAAGAACTTTGGTGATATGTGCTTTATTTTGTCTCTTTTGATGTAGCCTTCTTTAATCTGAGCTGCGCACACAGTGTTGTCTTCGTAGATCACAGTAGGGTGAATAGTAATAGGCTTCATACCGCATTCATTTTGGATGTGATGAATCATAGATCGCAGCCACACACATTCTCTTCCGGTTTCATATATTGCAATCAACTCCAAATGATTTGATGATGTAGCTGTCAATGTATGCTTCATAGATCTCCATGAGATTGCGGTGTTACCATAAGTAAGTACGTACCCGATTTGTGATTTTGCCTTTTGAGGATTTGACAAGTATCCGGCATCTGCATATCCGATTAGTGGCATTTGCATCTATGTCGTAGAATAGGCCGAGATCAACTGTACCACGTAGATAACGGAATATGTGCTTGATCCCGTTCCAATGACTCCTCGTTGGGCATGAGCTATACCTGGCTAATAAATTTACAGAAAATGCAATATCTGGTCTACTATTATTAGCTAAATACTTTAATGCTCGAATAGATCTCAGATATGGTACTTCGGGACCAAGTATTTCTTCGTTGTCTTCTCGAGGAAGGAATGGATCATCGTGTATGTTGAGAGATCGGATCACCATTGGTGAAGTCAACGGATGAGCTTTGTCTATGTAGAACCGCTTCAAAACTTTCTCGGTGTAATTGGATTGATGGATGAAAATTCCATTCTTCAAATGCTCAATTTGAAGTCCGAGACAAAATTTGGTTCTCCCGAGATCTTTCATTTCAAATTCTTTCGTAAGATATTTTGCAGTATTTTCAATTTCACCAGCAGTTCCAATAATGTTTAAGTCATCAACATATACTGCAATTATGCGAATCCCGAATTTGATCGCCGAATGAAAACACATAGACTAATTGGATCATTCTTATGTCTTTCTTTGAGAAGATATTCACTGAGACGATTATACCACATTCGTCCAGATTGTTTTAGTCCATACAATGACTTTTATAGTTTAATGGAAAACATATCTTGAGGTCTCGAGCTATAAGCTTCAGGCATTTTAAAACCACCGGGAATTTTCATACAAATGTCTGTATCAAGTGAACCGTAGAAATATGCAGTCACTACATCCATTAGGTACATTTGCGGCTTTTCAAAAACAGACATGCCAATGCGAAACCTTAATGTAGTTTCATCAACTACTCGAGAATATGTTTCTTCATAATCAATTCTCGGCATTTGAGAAAAACCTTGAGCAACAAGTTGGGCTTTATATCTTACGATTTCATTCTTCTCATTGCGTTTACGCACAAATACCCATTTAAAGACCACTGGTTTTACGCCTTTTGGCGCAGGAACTATCGGTCAAAAAACATCACGTTTTCAAGTGATTTTAATTCAGCTTGAATAGCTTCATTCCATTTTGGCCAATCGTGTCGTTTCCGACATTCTTCTATTGATGTTGGCTCATTCTCATTGTTTTCATTCATAAGATTTGCGGCAACGACATAGACAAATATCTCATTAATATCAATATCTTTTCGATTCCATTGCATTCTGGTAGAAACGTAGTTTATTGAAATTTCATAATTATCAACGTTTCTATCATTATCTGGAATACCTTCCTTGTTCAAGGAAGTTGGATCATCATTTGAGATGTTTGTTTTGTCAATATCATTTTCTATGCCAGTATTTTCAAGTTGTTCAAATTCTTGCTCAGAAAGATGAACATCTTTGGCATCACAGATCAATTCATGCTTTTTAGTTTTTCTTGGTTTTATTATGTCTTTTGATCCAAGTGGCCTGCCACGCTTTTTGTGTATAGAGAAATCATTTGCAAGAGATTTTTCAGAATTCTCTGATGGAATTTCGATCCTAACAGGGGCACTCATGACAGGAATATGTGACTTTATCACTTTCTTTGTATATGTGAATGTATCAAGCAACTCAAAATATGAGTGTCACACATACAACTTATAGCTTTATCAAGGAATGAAATGACGAAGCTTTTCTCTTGCGATTTCAGAACCATGGTCTGCGCCTAAATGGCTTGTCCGTTTTTTTTATTATCCAGGTGTCAGGGTTTACACTCCCATAATCCTGGAGTCTATGAACTAGACTCCAAAGCAGGACTTACATCACCTTTCAGGCTGATCCTCCCACCACACGAACCCGCTACCTTCATTACAATCCTCTCCCTTCTCAGCCGCTGAACAACTCCGTGAAGGTAGGAAGAATCATTGGGAGCAAGACCTCTCTCATCTCCCCTTGGTGGGAATTGAACACAAGACCTCCCACAAAGTAGAGACTTGAGGGTGGATGGTGATCCATTGGATTACACCCACATTCCCTAAATGGCTTGTCCATTTTTTTATTTTTGGGTTCAAATTTCTTGCTTTGATTTGTTCTCAGCCGGAATTATCTTCTAAAGTCTATTTCAAGCTTGGATTTGGATTTGGAATCTAAATCGACGGCTATCTACCTATGTTGCACGGAAACGTGAAAATCATGAGAAAACGGGAAACGAGAAACATCAAATGTTGTCCAAAAAAGACTTGTTTGGAGAGTTTCCTAAAATGAAAAGTACTAATTCCCAAGAGTTTATGTGCTATAGCTATCTGCCAAAAAATGAAGCTTGCATCTCATCGCAGATCGTAATCAAATTTCCTTGTTTCTCGACCTGTTATTGGAATCCAATAGTGGTTTGGGGTTCTCCACTGACGAGCGAAGCTTCCCAACCTTGGGGTGGACGGCAGGGACGGCAGAGTGTTGGAAACCACTTCACCCTATTTGGCGGTTTACAGCTCAGCGGCGAAGGCGGTTTCAGCATCTCCTCTCCGTACGGCATCCAACCACTGGCGGTTTGAGATCCGTTTGTCTCAGGCGAGCTGACAGATGATACCCTGGTCCGATTTCACGAAGGTTTCCCGATTGGTACTGTTCATCATCGTCCCTTTTCCTCAAAAGAAGCAGCAATGGTGAGAAAAACCATCGGCATTGGACTACCAGCGAGAGTCACCAGGTCAACTACATCTAGGTTTGAAGCCCTGGCCAATTTGGATGACGATTTCCCAACGTTGGAAACTCAACTTGCTACGCGGGAAAAATTAGCAATGGCTAACATTGTTGAATCTGCAAACAACTTCCAGCTAACTGTTAACGTTGCTCCTCACGCTCGAATTCAAGATGCTGGAATTCAAGATGCAGGACACCCCCTTCCAGATAGTATTCCAAAAGAAGGCAAAATTGAGGTAACCATCCCAAATTTGACTCCTAAAGATGCTGTAATGTCTCAAAAACCATGGACTACTTTGTTTAAGAACAACCGTGTCCCATAACACGGGATCAAATTGAGATTTATCCCGCCAAAAGGCAATTCTTTGAACTTTGCTGATAGAGTAATACCATACATGGTTGAGATGTGGGGGTACTGCCTTGTAGGATATTTCGCCTTGTAGGATATTTCACAGGACGATTCCCAGGCCTAAAGGCAATCCACGATCTCAAAGAAAAATGGGGTGTAAATTGCCTTGTACGATCCCATGATAAGGGTTGGATTATTTTTAAATTTCAAAATGAGGCATATAGATTGGAAGTTCTGACTGAAGGGCCATACACTATTTTTGGCAAGTTACTAATGCTAAAGGTACTCTCTGAGGACTTCTCATTTGATGACGAGGAGTTTCTCAAAGTACCAATTTGGGTCAAATTTCCAAATTTACCAATGAAACTTTGGAATGTAGAAGCAATGAGTGAGGTAGCGTCTATGGTCGGGGTTCTGCTAAACACTGATAAAATTACCAAAGACAGGGCTAACCACCATTTTGCTAGACTATTAATAGAAGTTGATGCATCCAAACCACCCCCTCTCTCATTTCCCATACGTCTACCATCCCGGAAGGTTATTGAGCAGTCAGTGTTGTACGAAACTTTCCCCAATTTTTGCTTTCATTGCAAAGAATATGGACATAACCCATTTATCTGCAAAAAGTTAGCGGATAAATACAAGGGGGTTACTAAGAATAGAGAAGATTTGGTTGAAGAAACACCTGGTGAGGCGGCATCGCTTGAAACTCCCCTAGAGCAAAAAGCCAAGAAAGAGGTCCAAAGCTTAGTGCCGGAAGGCTCAGATATCGAACGACAAGTTGAGGAGGCGATTGAGGACAGCCTGGACCAGTCAACAGATCCAAACTATGCACATGTGATAGCAGAAGCTAAGGAACACGTTATCCTAGAGATTCCCCCCGAGGACCACCCGATGACCAGAAGTAAATCAAAAACGCTTCAGGCTGACAGGGACTACTATATATATCTTATCCACTCAAACTATGACTCACCACACAAACTTGTAACAGGACTTCAACGTTATAAGTCATCACATCCGGAGGCAAAAAATTACCCTCCATATCTGCAAAGGGCCATCCAATTTCACAATAAATACAACAGCTCGCTTGCAACATCTGTCGAGGTGCCTGCAAATTTTATGTGTTAAAACTTTCTCCATGTGCATTTACTTGTATTTTTCCATTGCCTATTTTCTTGTTGAACTCTGTTTTGTAACCTCATATGTTTAATAAAATTGGAAAGTGTTCCCCGACGCTTTCCCCACCCTGGTGGCCTCTTCAAGCAAAAAAAAAAGAATGCATCAGACAACTGATTTGCAACATTTTGTAAATGAATTATCTTTTGCACCTCTTGCTCACATATTTTTGATTTTGAATCAATATGTGATAATCCTGTTGCATTCCATGTTATCTCTTTCGTACTTGGGTCTAATTTATTATTTTCTCCCCCTAAGGTCGGGAACACTGTCTCATTGAAATGATAGTCTGCAAACCCTGCGGTAAATAAATCACCGGTCAGAGGTTCGAGATATTTTATTATTGAGGGAGATTCAAATTACCAACATAAATTCCCAACCTTCTTTGAGGACCCATTTTTTGACGATGAGGTGGAACAATCGGAACATTAACAACACAAACAAATATCTTAATGTGTGCTAAGTTTGGCTCTTGTCTAGTAACTAATTGCATTGGGGAATATTCATGATATGCAGTTGGTCTAAGCCGAACTAAATTTGCTGCATGTAAAATAGCATGTCCCCAAGCAGATGAAGGTAAATTACACTTCATTAATAATGGTCTATCGATTAATTGTATAATCGTTTAATCAAAAATTCAGCAAGACCATTTTGTGTATGAACATGAGCAACGGAGTGCTCCACATCAATCCCAAATGACATACAATAGTCGTTAAATGACTGAGATGTAAATTCTCCTTCATTATCAAGTCAGATTCTCTTTATAGAATGATCCGGAAAATGAGCTCTTAATCGTATGATTTGAGCAAAGAGTTTAGCAAATGCTACATTTCTGATCGATAACAGACTGACATGTGATCAACGTGTTGAAGCATCGATTAACGCCATAAAATATCTGAATGGTTCACATGGTGGGGCTATCGGCCCACAAATATCTCCTTGAATCCTTTCTAAAAATGCAGGTGATTCAGTTGCAATTTTGTTCATAGAAAATCTCATGATCATTTTGCCAAGAGAACAGGCTTTACAAGAAAAAGCACTTGATAATGGAACCCCGATATTCTTTAATGGGTGTCCAAGTGAAGCTTTAATGATTTTATTCATCATTACTGTTAGGAAATTGATGTAACGTACCTCGAAAGTACAGCAACAGAAGTTTAAAATTTTCCCAAACAGATCTTCTCTGATTATGACAACACAACGAATATGATAATAATAACAGATCTGAGTTAGAACTTACAGATCTTCCAGCCTAGCGGTGATAATCCTTGACCTTAGGTATCCACGTGATTTCTCCTTTCCGAACGAACGGTTAGATCTCCCATAGAGAAAGGCTAGGAAATCTCTTCGCATGGAAATAAACTGGTAATGCTGAATCTAGAAAACTGGTCTGTCAATTATGAATGAGGAGGATGTATTTATACTAGTTCTAAACCAGTTTCCCAATCACAATGAAAGTCTTTCTAATTAATGAGTTCTAATCCTGCTAGGACCAATACTCCTAATTAATTAAATAAGTAGATAAAACAAAACAAAACAATAATAATAATAATAATAATAATTGAGATGTGACTGCACACCACTTTCTAATTATTATATATTAATATTTATTTTATTTACTTTTCTTTTAATTCCAAATTACAAAAGAAAATATCTACTTTATTTAATAATAAATACATCTTATTTAAGTATGATAAATCAAATTTATCTTACTTAATTAATTCTATCAAATAGAACTCTCCTTCAACTTCATGAATTAAATATGTTTAATCTAATTAATATTTAATTCATTTTCAGTATTACGAATTAAATATTATTTAATCCAATTAATAATATTTAATTCCTTCTAACAATTCAATTGGAAGGTATAATCACTTGTTGTGTGACCCATAAGGCCTTATATATTAAGCACTAATCAAATTAAGGTCTTACCGAATCCCTAGACAATTTTCTAGACAAACTTAATATATAAGGACGTTTGCGAGGACTATACAAACTCCCTGTAATATAGAGCTCATAGTGATACAGTCCTTTCATTCAACGAACATTCAACTAAATCTAGAACTTGATATTGTGTCTATTCCAATAACTTAGTCTCTATCTCTCAATCTTTCTAGATGATCCATAATGATCATATTCGATATCCAAAACGAATATATCTTTGCATTGGCCAATGACTTTATGATCCATCTAGATATGAGAAGTAGAATGTTCTCTCTTAATCTATCATGATGAATGAATTCTTTCTTGGCTCAACTACTACTCCATGTGCTTCGTGATGCACCCAACACATGTCGTATCTACCCCGATTGAAGTGCAAGCGTTGGTCATGGTCAAAGTACATCACTCCGCACATGTAGTTCGTACTGACCTCAAGTCGGAGGATTATTACACTACTCTATACGCCGATAATCCCATAGACACATGAATAGAACTTATCAAATGGTTTCTCGGTGGGTATGCCCATATTCTCTAAAATATCTATGTGACCATCATGAATTACAGGAACTCATAGTTGTGAGATCAACTATACTTTCTAAAACTATGATGCAGTCCACATATCAATCTTATCGCATATCATCAATATCCCATTCCTGATGATCATTGATTGAGGCTATTTTAGGACCTTATGTTATATCATATAAGCTTCCACTTACTTATTGACAACATAAGTCCAAGGGAACACAATTATGAATAAGATATTGACAATCGAAATACTTAATCATCAATGTGTAATACCGTATATATCAATGATGGAGTATATGGGTCTGAGCCCCCGGACCCACATACTCGGAAGAACAGAAAGCACAAGACACTGAGTGGTGCCCTCGTCGGCCAAGGGACCCCCGTCGGCCGGAAAGGTACCAACTCAGAATATGGTCCTGAAGCCAAGGAACCCGGGTGCCCTCGTCGGCCGTGCCCTCGTCGGCCACGAAGACCTCACAGAACCGGATTTTACACTTACTCATTTGAACAGCCCATTAGTGGCTTTGTATTCGGCCCAGTAGCGGTCCAGTTGTAGATGGACCTCCCAAGCCTAAGGCTTGGGAGCCCAGCCCGTATTTTCTCTATAAATACTCCCCTTGGGAGTAGTTATAAGAGTTACAAATTCATTCTATTCAAGCATATTATTGCACTTCTCTCTCTAGCTCTCACTTCTCTCTAGATATACTCTATCAATCAAATATATAAAACTCAATGTGATCAAGTACATATATCTCTAAAAAGTGATTGTCGCTAGGACATATATACTAACATTTACATGGCCTGGGTGACCTAAATGATCATGCCACAACATGAATTTTTCTGATCATCTAACTTTGTGTTAGAAACCAAATTTATTTCGAATGGACTAATATATGTGAAATATAGTCTTGAGGAATATGCTGTCATTTTTTCACAAATATATTTAGTGCCAGATTTAGTTGTCATAAGATAAAAATATTCCTTTTGATTTTCATTCGTGGTTTCTATGTGATAACCATTTTGACGCATATCTTTAAAACTTAATAAATTTCTCCGCGATTTGATGGAGTATAAAGCTTCATTTATAAAAGAAAAAGTACATAATACATGATAACATAAATTACTATTTTACACCATAAAGTTTTATAATTTATTTTGTGTTATTTGGATTTGTGGCAAACGCATCGTCCATTATGCTGTCATCCATAAAGAAATCAGACACATCAAATTTTGGCAGAGGTGGAGTTGTATCATTGACATAATTAGCTTCCACATTTTTGCTTTTGTTCAGATTCATGGAAGCTTGAAATAACTCCACCAGATGTTTAGCCGAACGGCATTTATTAGCCCAGTGCCCCATCATGCCACATTTATAACAAGTCGAATTTCCCAAGTATTTTGGAAGGCGATTTATTTGGACTTTTTGTTTGACTTTGCCCTTATAATTTGGTCTGTCGACCCGTTTATATCCTAAGTGAGGCTTGTTATTATGACCACTAAAATGCCCACGTTTAAAATGGCTTCGAGGGCCACTGTGTGTTGCATGTGATTCAGTGGCTAAATTATGGCCAGATGAACCATAAACCGAAGGACTAGAACCAGTGGGTCTCAAATTATGGTTCTCCATTAACAAGTCATTATTTTGCTCAGCAACAAGTAACTGATATAAGGTCAGAGTATTTTTTTAAAACCTTTTTCTCTATATTGCTGTTGGAGCAGCATGTTAGAGATATGCATAGTAGACAAGGTTTTCTCCAACATATCAGCATCAGTAACTTTTTGTCCGCATAACTTTAGATTAGATGTTATTTGGTACATGGCTGAATCTTAGATTGATCCAGTCGTATTGAGCTTTAGGCAAAAGGACCTTTTGTTGGTAGTCATACCTCTCCTGTAATTGTCCCATAGTTCTTTTGGATCATCAACTAAAAGATATTCAGATTTGAGACTTTCATGAAGGTGATGACGGAGGAAAATGATAGCTTTCGCTCTGTCTTGGGAAGATGATAGATTATTGGCTTCAATTGTTTCTTCTGAACCATTAGCCTTAAGATGTGCCAGATCATCGACTTTCTATTCCAAATATTCTTAACCAGACAGATCAAGAACGTCTCTTTTGCTTATGTTGGCCATTATGTCAAATTCTTGATTATTAATAAAAAAAGTCTCAGCCTAACCATTAAATTTTTTTATTGGAAATGGGTTACCGACAGAAAGTTCAGGAACCTCTGGTCATTTATGTAAAACTTCCTCAACTCCTTCCGTTCTTTATGTTTAACGAAAAATTTGATAATCAAATGTGTATGCAGTATGCATGTGATCATTTGCTCAGAACCGTTTTACTTTCTTTGTGTATAATGAAAAAAATAATAAAGAGTTAAACATGCATGTCAGTAATAAAATACAAAACCCGTGACTAACTTAGTGGATGTGAGAAAAGAACTATGTACTTCGGATATATAAATATGAGCATCAAATCTGGCTTATTACTTTCGTTGTTGTAGTGCGTAGTACTCAGTATTAGCTTCTGGTTAGACTTTAGACATCCAATAAGTGTATTTACGAAGGATTTATTGAAGTTGGTGTTCTTCTTTACTTATTTACGAAGGATTTATCAAGATTCATTTTGAAGGTATGT